GGCCGGCCCGCGGGCCGCGTTTCAGGATAAGCAGCTTATCCTGAAACGCACAAGCTGCCCCAAACGGACCCTAATATAAATACATATTAATTTCACCCAGAAATCATCAAGAAATTAGAGAGATGATCCAAGTAATAAGAACTCACAGCATTTGTAAAAGCGGCTAAAACTTCCAGCCTCTTATACCTACAGAATAACAGAGGTTGAAATTCAAAATAAATTTAGATTCCATAAATAAATCATTAAAAAATTATCTGCAGCAAGCCTTCAGTATTCTGCAGCAGTAGAGTAATACTAAAAGAGAAGCTCACCCATAGGTGTATGTTCCATCAGGCCTTTTCTGAGTAGCAATCATTGCAAACAAAGAAAAAGTTAGGAGGCCACAACCAAATGTCAAGTGGAAGGAATCTGAAACAAGACCTGAAATAAAGTTAATGAAGGAAAAAAACAGACATGAGTAACAGGAGTAACTCGCATAAAGAATCATCACTAAGAAAATTAAGTACCATGCATATTAGCCTTAATATAGAGTGATTGTATAAATTACATTGATAGATTTCTGCAAAAAAATAACTTGATCAGCTACTGGATATATGAGCCAGCTCAAAAGCTGTCAAACCGAGTCTTGACAAGCTTCTCAAACTCGCAGTTCGACTCCTAAGATCTCTAATGTGTCAAATTCGAGCCAGCCATGCATACGTGCACCCCCAGTTAAACCTATTCTATGTAAGCCATTTTGAACAGCTTATAGCCAAATAATCTCAAGTCTGCCCATTTTTTCTCTAATCCTCGGACACAAATTTTATCAGCCCGTCATCTAGCATATGCATTTTTTACATTTCCTTGTAAATGTCAAAATCACCCAAGTACATTTTCAATCATCATATTTTTAGTAGATAGTCACCTAATATTTCCTCGAATATAATGATTACTTAATTTTTCCACACATCTATCAGAACATTATTTCGCACTTAACTCGGATATCAATGACTTATTTATAATATAATTATTACATCCATACAACATTGTCAGTCTAGTTGTGAATTGTGGTTCCATAAAATTTACCATTTAAAACTCCATAATATCCTTTTATCACACAAACTCCTGAGGCACTTTCTATTTAACAATTTAACATTTAATGCTAAAATTTATATGCTTTTCAATATCTTTAGTCTTTTGTATAATATATCAAAGATATTTAAGTCAAGCATATCAACATGTAAACTATTCTTCTGATAATATTAAATAATAATTGCTGATATTCTACCTAGTTAATGAATATTATATATTCAATCATTGTTCTACTAATATATCAAAGATATTTAAGTCAAGCATATCAATGGGCAAACTTATCTTCCAATAATCTTAAAAAAGATTGTTGTTGACATTCCACCAACTTAATGAATATTATATACTCAATCATTGTTCTTCTAATTCACAGCTTTCCAAATATTTCCTCAATTATTCTAATTTTTCACATATTTATGTATAAAAATCACTAATTATAATTATATCACCCAAAAAAAAACATACAACAAGATGTCTGGCTTTGAAAAAAGTTTAAAGTATCTTCATAACTAATACATTAAATATATGAACTCAATGTTCATACCTAATATAAGCCTACAGTAATTAGAAACTCTTGGATCACTCCAAAGTTATTCCAATACTAGTCAGAGCTTTAATTCAAACTTTCAATGATGTCCACGTATTTTTCAACCATAAAGCACATCAAATCAATTCTTGCAATATTCAATCATATGCTTTATTAAGATTAATAAAAAACATATGAAGACCCTTTCTTTATTTTCTTCATTTATTCATTAATCATCATAAAAAAATAACTTCCATAGAAGTTCTTCATAGTATAAAATCAAACTGTTCTCTAAAATTGATGTGACATTTCAACTTTTATGTTCCATCACACTTAGTCATAACTTTATTATATAAAGCATAAATTTGATTCATCTATAAATAGCAAAATACTAAATATCATCCTTGCTCTTAAATATTGGTACCAAAATGCTTCTCTTTTAATCATTGGCATCACGTTGAACTTTAAAATTTAATGAAAATATTTATTAACCAGATAAGTGCACTAAACCATACAGCTCTCCAAATTTTACTGCACATCCACACCCAAAGCTTTACCTTCATTCATCTTTTTTCAAAGTTAACTCCACTTTATTAGATCAATTAAAAATATATTTCACTATATTGTTCTCTATGCTTTTCCAAAACAATTTTTTTTATTAAATATGCAATTTAATTTCACAAAGTAATATTTTCATATTTCCTCTAAGCCTTCATCTATAAACAAATTCTATTCTTCGCTTTTAATATATTTAACTTTATCAAAATCCCTAAATCTCTTATCTTTTACTTTAGTTATTCTCTATTTCTATTATCTCCTTTTCTCCTTCCATGTACCAAACATGTTTATGTGCATATACATGCATTTTAAATGACCTCAACTAGTTCAAGATACTATTATAGCAATAAATTACAAATTTATAAATTAGAAACAAAATATTGATCCAACCACAGCTCGAGACTGTTCATTCAATCTGATCTAGAGCCGAGCCACATACAGTTATAAATTTACTCAATTCAAGCCAAGCTTGGCTAATTCAATCCAAGTTCAATCCGAGCCAAAAATTGATTCAGTATCTGTTAAATATTTATCTCCTAAAAGCAATTACAAGTCAAGCATACATCCATCCATCTGAATGTGAATCCCTGAATGCATATACTTTTCGATCTGATCTCAATCAAGTTAGATTCCATCTAGGCTTGGCTCACTAAGAGTTTGATCCAAGTTAAGCTTGGCCCGTTAGTCAACCATTGATCAAGATCCGTCACAAATTTTGATCCAACTTCCGAGTGATATTTAATCTTTGAGTCAAATTGAGAGCATTACCTAAATATTAAGTGCCCCTTTTTATAAATGGCTACTAGCCAATTCATTAGCAACCGAACGAAAATATTTTAAGATATCTACTACGAAACTTTTACAGGCATGGAGATAATATCGATTTCATCAAAAATGAGTATTTACGCAATAAAAGAAGTATAAAAGCACACACAAAGGAAATTGATCAGAAGCCTGACCTATACGCCCAGTAATTAGCCCAATCATCAACTCCACCGTAGAGTAGGCCACGTTGAGCGAAATCAACAGTGCAAGCCGCCTCACCTGTCGATTCCCAGACCTTACAGACATTAACACGGACGCCATCTGATACAGAACAGAACGCTTCCACCCAACATTGCCTCCTCCTGCGAAGTCGGCCTTCCCATGTCCTTCCCATGACTCCTCGTCCTCGAAGTGCTTTATACCGATGCTGGAATTGTTCCGCAAGAGTTGAGGCTTGAAAGACCAGTTGCGAGAAAATGAAAACCTCCGATCACCACTGCCAATACCGTAGCCTCCATTCCATGGCCGCGGTGTCTCGCCGCCGGGGAGCCGATGTTTGAACGAATCCTGGGTAACCGGGGCAGCGGTGAAAGAGCTCCCGGTGCCTCCATTAGGCTCGGAAGGAACGGCACGATCGAACATCCCGAGGCGAAGCAATATTGAGCTTCGCCTGATCGCCGAAGACGGCTATTTGGGTCGGGAACGAGGGATTATTGTGTGCGTCCGATTCTGACCGCAGCATTATTTTCGTTTTTTTTTTTTTAATTTCGGTGGGGCCCATCAAAAATACATCGGGACCGTAGATCAGGTGATTTGCGGTCCGGATCGGATACCGCGCGCAAGCTGCGTGCGGTGTCCGATCCGTATGGAATAATTTTTCGTCAGGAACAGAGCCTCTAGGGCTTTCAGATTCTCGAAAAGATGGATTTAAAATAATATTTTTTTTATTTTTCATTTAATTCAATTTGATAATATTTAAATAATTTTGACAGAAGCATAAAACTAAATTAAATATTGTTGAGACCAGAATGTTCTCGTGGATGAGCGGCTTGATTTTAGTGACAAAATACAAAACAAATATATCAATATAAGGGTTGTTGCAGCTCCAATGGCACACAAAATTAGACAAAATCATCTTAAATGATTTGGTTATGTGAAACATTCACCATATGATCATTCGATTAAGACCTTGTTTGGGGCGGCAGTAAAATGGCAGAGCCGCGAGGCGCAACAATATTTTGTTGTTTTGGGCGACGGAGAAGCAACGGCGTGGCTCGTTTAGAGTAAAACACGAGTCACTGGTTCGACCCCGTTACCTGTTTCTCTCTTTCGACTTTTTACGTTGGTGCCCGTTTTTTGATTCCACCCTAACCCTGGGTCACTGGTTCGACCCTCTTCCTCCTCATTTGGCTTTTTAAGCAAGGTGGAAGCTGCGATATTTTACTCCTCTTCCTTCTCTTCTCCCACGTTGCTCACACGCCGTAGTTCTTCTTCCTCCTCTTCTCCCGCATTTCTCATGCTACCTGATTCCTCTTCCTCCTCTATTTCCCAGCGTTAAGCATTTTTTCTTCAACAGATGGGATACTTGTTCGTTGGATTTGTCATGTTAGAACTGTAAATGTTGTTCGGTGGTATGGATGTGTGGTATGGATGTGATTGCTATATGATAGATTGAATTCTTGATGGTTCGATTTTGGGTTTGGTAAGTTGTGTGAAAAGAAAAAAAAAATTGAGGGTGTGGCTTGGGGATGACAGCAATCTGATGTCAGGTATTTTTGAGTTAGGGTCTATTTTAATTGTGGCATGGTCATTGATGTGAATATATATCATTTTGGTGGTCTGCATGAGGATCTAAAAAAAATTATTATTATTGTTGGTGCATCTTAGGCATTGTTGTTAGATTATTTTTATTGTTCTTTGGAGTTATTGGTGGTTGTGGCTTGGGCATTGTATGAATATATATCAATTGAGTGGTTGTAGCTTGGGCAGAAGTATTTATTGTTATTATTCCTCTTTCAACCTTATCTAATTGGGCAAAAGTACCTAAAAAGGGGCTTCTTAAAATGAATATAGTTGTAAAAGTTTGAAATTGTGCTGGCAGAGAGGATCTGGATGTGCTTGGGGTGGTTATATCTTGGGGTTGTGGATGTGGCTTAGGGTTGTGGATGTGGCTTGGGATGACGTTGACTTGGAGTTGTGGATGTGGCTTGGGGTGGTTGTAGCGTACTTGCGTGGGATGTGTATCTTATTAATTTTATTATCAATTTTTTATATGTAATTTTCATTTTTTTTCTTTTTTAGTAAACTTGATATTGGCTGTTATGAGAGGTGTGTACCTTATCTTTTTCTACTATTCTGAAGTAGTTTATTACTTCTCAAGTATCATATATATTGCTATAACAGTTTCGCTGCTCATTGCACAGGGGCAGAATGATCATTTATCCAGAAACAATTGTTACATAACTATTTACAAACTATAAAAAACAAACAGACAGTCAGTTCTCCCGCAACAGCTTCCTCATAGCAGCTTCCTAGAGCAGTTGTTGCAAATCAACTTATTAAATAAGTTGCAGCTGCCCCAAACATACCTTAAAAGAGTGAATATTTTAGTCTCAACTTATGTTAAGGTAGATGTATACCTAAGAAGATTTGAGCTTGCCCGACAAAAAATTGTTTTTATTTATTATAATTAAATGAAAATATGACAATCAATAAGCCACAAAGGAGAAAAAGTATTCATAGAGCTGGCCCACTTAGTGTGATAAAGACTTGTTGTTGTTGTTGGCTATTTCTTTGATAATATTTAAAATTATATACTAGAGGTGTAAGCAAGCTTAGATCCAAGCTCTACCCTTTAATGAGCTTATGAGTCAAGCTTATCGATGCTCTACTCTTTGACTCATGTTTCAAGTCAATTAGGAGTTAGGGCATTCACATCAATGCCTTCTTCGATGAATTGCTAGTGTAGTTCTCTTTCTCTCTACCCATCAATCCCTTTGTGTTCTCTGGTGACCGTACATAGAAATTTCATTAAAGATGAAGAACCAACATGTGAGCTTATTTTCAATGCTACAAATCGAGCTTGAGCTTGAATTAGACATGGTTAGAGCTTGGTTGAACTCATTTACACTTCTATGATCAACCATGAGCAATGTATTTGCACTTAATAAAGACTCCAAAAGTGTCACTCAATACATGGTATCCTAAATCTTTAGGACAAGGGATACTAGCATGTAATTTTTTTTTATTATTTGAAAATAACCTTGTTAGTTGAATTTGTAAAATTTGTTCTAAGAGCATTGCCCATGAAGACGACCTGTGGGTGCTCCTGAGCACAATACTCCAAAGTCTAATGCTAAACCACATAGATACAAACGTAAAAAATATAATTTTTCACTACATTTCAATTGTTGTTATTTGTAAGTGTATTGAAAAAGGCTAACGCATTGCAATCATATATATTTTCTTAAAAAAAATGTTTGTTAAGTGTTCTGTATTTATTTTCTTTCTTACATTTTATTGTTAAAAAAATGAATTATTGTGATATTTAACCATGTGCTTGATCGATATTAAAGTACTTCTTCTTACAATGACTATTGTATTGTTATTTTCAATATAATATTGAAAATAATTGTTAAACAAATTATAATAATATGCCTCACAATTCTTCATATCTCAAAATCCAACTACACTTATAGGTTTAACTGCTAGCATCTCTTTAAGAGCAAGCTCTACGTATTGTGGACCGATTCTATCAATATGAAATCATTGGTAAATCATTTTTATATGTTTAATGATGTTTAAAGAAAAATATATTCTTTTTTAAAGCTCATATTTAATCATATTTCAAAATAATAATTTATATCTTAAAATAACATATTCATTTTTAACTTGTATATGCAAACCATTTCATGTATTTTCAATTGAGATGTTTATTTTTTTTGCATCCTCATTCAACATTGTTAGGTTAATTCCACCCATTTAGGGATGGCTTCCTAATCATATTCAGCTCATACTAAATGATAGATATGACATAAAAGCCTATCTTGTGCAAACTCTTTTACACTACTATCAATATACCATTTTGATCTAAGAAAATTCTTTCATGTCCTTTTATAAATCTCACACACACTTCAATAGTAAAATAATAGAAATTGAGCTAGCCCCTGGCATGAATTCATTGTCACAGGCGCAATTTTATCGCTTTTGAAGTTTTAATGGTTAGAAGTCACTTTAGGTAAAATACTTATTAAGAACATTACATTTAAATGTTTTGACATTTATCACTTTAATTAACTCAGCATAGAGATTTTAAAGTTGAAACAACAACAACAACAAAACCTTAATCCACTACGTGGGATCAGCAGCATGAATCCTTTTTCTCCATTGTGTCCTATTTAGTGTCATATATTCATTTAGTTATAATAAATTGAGATCATTTTTTATACAATAAGCCCAAGTCTTTCTAGGTCTACCTCTGCCTTTCTTAACATAAGTCAAATTTAAAACATCTACTCTCCTAATCTGATCATCAGATGGTCGACGCTTAATGTGACAAAACCATTTAAGACGACTTTCTCTAACTGTGTCTGTCACAGGAGGTACACCAACTTTATCATGGAAATATTCATTTAGAATTTTGTCTCTATGTGTATAGTCACTCATCCACCTAATCATTCTCATATCGGCAACACTTAACTTAGTATTATGTTTCTCTTTTAAAGGCCAACATTCAGCACCATAGAGCACTGCAGGTCGTACCACCGTCTTATAAAATTTTCCTTTCGGTCTAAGCCGTACTTTTCTATCACACAAAAGGCTCAAAGCATTCCTCCACTTCAACCAACCAACTTGAATTATACTATTAACATCCCCATCTATATCACCATCACTTTAAACAACAGACCCGAGATGTCTAAATCGTTCACACCTTTTAATAGTTTGATCACCCAAAGTTACACTTCTGTCACTAGAGCTACTACTACTAAAATTGCATTCTATGTATTCAATTTTAGTTCCACTCAAATGAAGACCTTTCCACTCAAATGTAAAACTCCATAATTCAAGTTTTTCCTGGGCTTTTTCTCTCATCTTACCCACGAGAAGGATATCATCAACAAAAAACATACTCTAAGGTACATCCTCCTATAAATATCTAGTAACTGTAAATGTCCAGTAAGACTCCATAACTAAAGCAAAAAAAGATATGCGCTTAAAGCCGATCCCTGATGTAATTCAACAGAAATAGGAAAATACTTAGTCAATCCTCCTTCAGTTCGAACACAAATAACAACTCTAGTATACATATATTTATTGATTTGAATATAAGTGTTGACCTCATTTTTGGTTGAGGTCTAGA